ATAATAATAATAATAATAATAATAATAATAATAATATAGCAGCCCATTGAATGTACAACTGTATGTATTACGCATCCATAATACTAAGAAGGATGTTCTAACAAAAGAATGCTTACACCCATACACAATTGACAATCACGGCATGTGGCTCTTGATCACACTTGTTGCTTGTGGAAGAATCAAATTAGTTGGTAAAATAAGATTTAGATAAATGAGTGTCCAGTTTCAAGTAGAGTGAACGTAGACCGCCACCCTGGTAAAGTTCAAAATTACTTCCAACCAAACTGAACATTTAAAATGTATCCCGCGCGCTCATAGGACCTTATTCATTTGCGAACGACACAAAACGCTTACTAAAACAAACAAAAATCTTCCATTTAAACGTACTGAGAGGGAATTCCACACTAAGAAGTAATCGAGATTATGGTCGCTTTTAAGCACAAGGGGGCTATCCCAGATTTTGTAGGTTCCCAGAAATCTTAATCTACATCAAAAGTGAGCGTTGCCCTACCTATAGGAGAAGTTTGGTTTCATTGAAATGTATATTTGTTTGATTATTGAGAAAACTCTACTTGTCTTTTAAAGAAACAGAACAAGGGTTCAAAAACTTTACCTTCGATTTTCTCAAAACAGCATTTTTCGGGATAGCCCACTTGAGCTTAAAAGCGACCATATAGGTCTTTCTGCAAGGATGTTCTATCCTTTACAGCCTGGATTGGCCCTGACGTGCAAAGGTGGAAGCCTATACTTCCTAAATGATCTGAATTGTGTCGATGAGGACGTAAAAATCTCTATTATAGGAATAATAATATATTTACTATGCTGTCTTTACTTCTATCTCCTTAGGAAATTCTAAATTGTTATGAAGTTACAAGGAAGCCACGTTGAGTTTTTAAGTGATAGGTTTCATGTTAAAATTCTTCGTTACATTTATGAGACCACCTGAAAGCTGTTCTCTTCAAGAACCTTTTGTAACTGAGCCTGAACGTATCTTGATAAAAACTCGCTTCTGAAAATCTTCCTTTTTCCCTTCTTGACATTGGAGTAAGATAAAATCTTAAAAAATACCTCACGATTTTCGCTAATCGCGAAGTGTCGGGTCGGTTTTTTTCTGCTCAAACAGCTTTCTTTCAAAGACATTTATTTCTTCCAGTGGCTAATTTACTTTAGTATGATTTACAAGGTGTACGTACCCTTGTCTCTGCCTGCTAGCGGCGCTAATATGGTGCCCACATGTCTTGATTTTACCGCTTTGATCAGCCATAATCCCTGAGATTTGTTGTTCGTGCCTCCTATCAGTCGCGGCTCTCCGCTGTGAGATTGTTCAGCCGTCGTCGTTCTCACCTGTGGGGAAGAGTCAGGAATTTTGGGATTTTCCCCACATTATTCCAGATTCATGGGAAAGAGTTACGTTAATCTTCCCTTCCTCCTCCTCCCACTACATATTTTGTATTTTAAGTTGGTTTTTTTTACCCGCCCTCATGTTTTGGTTGGTTAATTGTGAGTGTGAGTGAGTGAGTGTGTGTGTGTGTGTGTGTGTGTGTGTGTGTGTGTGTGTGCGCGTGTGTGTGTGTTTGTTTGTTTCTGTGTGTTGTTGCTGTTTTATTGTTGTTGTTGTTGTTGCTGCTGCTGTTGTTGTTGTTGTTTAATTTTCCAGCAACCTGACCAGAGATTACAATTTACAGACTCAAACAGGCTGAGAAAACTCATTACTACACACCTTCTGTAGAAAATTGTCTTTTCGAAATCTCTTAGAATTCCCAGATTGTAACATATTATGAAACAAAAATTAATGTTCCACATAAATCGGAATTCATGTTTTCACACAGCCGTAAACGTATCTGGCAAAATATAATTTTATTGCTTTTGATAAATTGTGAAACCCGTTCGTGTTCAGCTGGTCATCAAATTCCCTGGAATCGTTATCACAGCTTGAATGCACGCGAGCAAAGCATTATTTTGCAAGAGCGTTTATACATGTACCCAACA